ACTGCGCCACGAACCCTGAGAGAACTCAGGAAGAACGAGGTGGACTGGGAAAAGTTCACGTTTACTCTCCATGACGGAGGTTTAGTCAGAGGTTACGATGTACAGGGAAGTATAGCAGAAACAGCGTTATTTGGAGACAATGGCGTTACCAGGATCAATGTGTATAAGAACCCCAGCACAGGGCGTATGACGGGTCTTTCATTTCTCGGCGAAACACCTGGGTCTGAGCGCCGGTTCGGACTTGCGGCTGGGTTGCACAACGAAATCACGAACTTTGATAAGATTTTGGGGTTCATAGTAGCGCTGGGCACGGGAAGCCGCATCATGGGGATCCAGTTCCTGCTTATGATTGACGGCGCAACCGTACGCACCGAGTATTTCGGGCTCCCGCCAGACTTTGAAAGTGGTGAGACTGGGGTAGGCTATTACAAACTCGTGATCCCGCGGATGTTTCGTCAAGAGCACTTAGTGGGCATTACCGGGCTATGTGATCAACATGGGATCCGGGCCATTGGGCTGCTTGCGCCACTCAAGGTCTTGCAGGATGAATACCTCCCCCTACCAGATCATATGATCACGGACATGCCTTCGTCGTCTGCCGCGGTCTATGATGAGACTCCGATGGTAAGGACTTATACCGGCGGCGATGATGATCATAAACCTGTTACTGGACCCTGGCGGGCTCTCGATGTGCCGGAGGGACTTATTAGCAGTGTGGGCAATGACTGCGATATTGCATTTGCAGGACGAGTAGCAGGGGATGTTGTGCCCTTTCAGGGAGTAATAAAAGTGAGCGGATGGTGGGACGACGATGGACTCAGAGGATTACTACTTCAGCGCCATAAACAAGAGGATATCACCATAGGAGAACAGTCTGGCGAGTTTTCCGAACATTTCCCACTAGACTTCGACAATGAAGAAATGATTGAAGGCACAATAGTCACAGGCGGCTTGCGAGAAGGAGCTACATCTATTGCGGTGAGTGATTTCTCATGTTTCGCTATCCACAAGAAACCCTAACCCTATTACACTTCGATTAAGAAAATGTGGAGCTAAATTATTTCCCAATGCTGTAGTTTGTAACAAATCTCGGCCGCTGCAGCGAATTCTTTGGGCCCAAGTTCATAGGTTGCCCAACCCACTTCGTACCTGGCCGTGGACCTTTAGCGCGAGTGGAGGACCGAGTGGTCAGCGCCCTCCACTATGCATACTCTAACGAAAATAAACGGTTTACTCGTCTTGGCGTAGTCGCGGCCATACCAGTTGTTAAGGCGTTTGGAAAGGGCAAAGGTAAAGAGGCAGTTGATATGGCTGCACATCGCGAACATCGCGAGTTGATGTTGAAGTCAGCACAAACAATTCTTCCCTTCGAATCGCGCGACGCACAAGGAAACCTTTGGGAAGATGTCATGCCGAGTGCCAACGAGTTTGTTATCGAGAAAGATAAGAACAGGCCGGACATGATCGACGGCGGGTGGATCACATGGTGTGGGACTGTGTGGACTCAGAAGGCACTTCGGCGGATCGAGGTATGGGGCGAGGTTAGAGGTGTACGATTCACATTTATCGACGGCACAACGAAGGGCTTTGGGCTCCTGGGGAGGGGTGATAAAGTTAAAACTTTTGAGTTCCACGAGCCTGAAGGACGATGGCTAGTTAGCTGCTCGTGGGGTAAAGTGAAGGCAAAGACTAGTTGGGCGGGAGAGCATGGTTCGGGAAAGCGGGGTGATGCGGACTATCGGGATGAAGAAGACTTGGACGATGATGATTGGGACTGCACAGAAGTCACAGAGATGAAAGTGAGTTTGACCTTGTTTCTTTCGCGCGGGTTGCTAAAGGGCTGATGTTGCTTCATAGTTTCGCACTCGAGTTGCGCAGGGAAATAAGCCGAAAACACTCCCAGCCGGGTACAAGATCAACCACACTGTAACCTCTATTCGTGGTTTGGCAGCAATATTTAGCCTGCCCTATGCACCACAGTACCTCCAGAAACTACCCAGGCCAAAGGTTGTTTATAGGTCGGGCCACAAGCACCCAACACACCCGCTCTACCCAAACAGCACAACAATTGCGACCCCGCCCATCCCATTCCTTCGAAAATACGAATACGAATTCTTCGACGGGGACAATGGTGAGAAATTAGAGGCCATAATAGCCTATATGGGCGTTGGCGCCTGGAAACCTTTCAAAGGTCTACGATTCCGCCGAGAAGGCTCCGGCTGGGGTGACGTTTTCGGCGAAGTTGGTGAGACCATGGCCATATTCGAGCTCGAGGGAGGCCGAATAGAGCGAGCATTTTACCGGATGGGACTCGGACCCTGGCTCGATGCCGTCGCCTTTGCAACAGCCACAAAGGCAAGCCCGTATTTTGGTAAAGAGCGTCGCGGAGCTGAATACGAAATACCCATGAACGAAAACTGGATTCCGATAGGAGTCTACAGCATCAGGACTCAGGTAACTCACGTCTTGGGGAACTATGGCCCGGAAGGTTATATTGACCACGTCAAGAATCAGTTTGGACTATTTTGTCGTGCAGCACAACCGGGAGACAAACTTATTCAGGCCACGCCGCTGGGGGAACCGTCGCCATCGTCGGAGCCAATCACAGAGTTTTTCCAGCCTTCTTGCTCAGAGACTGGGAGGTTATGGCGGAGCGATGTACTCTCGTTGCCGCGGAACAGCCGTATGGCACCGCTCATTAGAAGCTCTCACTTCAAGGCCGCTCTGCAGATTGAGGAAGGCAACATTGATGAGCTCAGTGAATACGCATTCCTCGATGTCGAACACAAACGAACGTTCGCCCTCTTTGACCCAGAAAGGCTGAAAAGGATATATGTGTCCTGGCGATATACAACTCTGCCCGTCTGTGGGAGGAAGGTCGCCGCTATCTGCCATGTCAAGTTCCGCGACTTTGAAAAAATGGACGAGATCCTGATCGGAGATCCACCGCCGTACATGAACGCCACGCGGATCCGCTCCCTCACCCGGAACGGCGAAGACAGCGGCGCAAAGGGGTGGAAAGTCGAAAGGATTGATATTGACGGGCTCGGCGGCGAAAGGATCACACAGGTGCGATATATGTTTAATCCCTGGCTGTGTGCGATACAATTGAAAACGAACTTTGAGCGACATATCTTTCTGGGACTGGCCCCAGAAGACTGGGAGAATGAGCCTTACTACGATGCGCATGTAGTTGACGTGCAGGATGGGGAGGAGATCACCGGGATGCATGTAGACACCACTTGGATCGTGGATAGAGCGGAGGAGAAATACTGCGATAAGATTGGGGTTATTTTCAGGCCGTGTGTCGAGGTCTAAGGGTGGAAGAGAGTATCAGGGCTTTATTGGCATCTACTTTTCTAGCAAGCTATAAATTACGTACCGTGTTCCCATTCTTGTTCTTTTATTTCTCTTCTTTTCCTTTTTTTGATGGTTTCAAAATGGTTTGAAGGCTGGGCTTGTTTTCGTTTCTGTTAATTTTGTGCACTCTCCTATTCATCCTCATGGCATGGGGTACGTTTCTTCCCTGGGTGGTTCATATATATTTTAGTCGGTTTCTCATGCGTGTCTCTTGTCTTAGTACTCTACTAGCTACTGAAATCCACTACTACTAACAGACGCTACATGTATGTACCTTGCTTTGCTCCCCGGGCTCTTACTATAGATATAATCCAATAATAGAATGCCCTCCTACTCGCGATCGATCGTGACACCTGCACGCTGACTGGCGCCGCTGCTGCACAAAGAAAAGAAAAAACGAGAAGTGAGAAGTTGCTCACCTAGCGTGCCTGCTAGTACTGATAACGCCTACCTGTCCGCAACAATGCCCGCGAGGAATCCGAGGCTAGCCAGCCCTAGAGATTAACACCTTGCCTCGGCACCATTCCACTACTAATCCAAGCGAGTGACACCGGATGACCTTAACCTGCAGGGTCAAAGCTTCTCTTCCCAGTAAACTCACACTTTCTGAAATTAGTCTGCTGCTCTCCCTTGCTTGACGGGGGCGGTGGGTGGTGGTGGTAGTGGTGGTAGTGGGATGGGATGCTGTTACCAGTGCACGGCCTGCCTGTCACTACCTACATGTACCGGTACTCTCGAGCGGAGTACCTACATAGAAATTTAACATTCCTGGTCCTTTACTCAACTACCGATAAATCGCGTGGTGGGCGATAAAGACGACTCGACTTGACCCCCAATAGCTCCGACTCCCGAGTTCTTAGAGTGCTCATACGAGATTACATGACGCAAGCGGCTCCTAATTAACGTACTAATTATCTATCTGCCGCAAACAAACAATTGCCGAACAAACCACAGCAGAGTAACTAGAGCTAAGTAGGTGCTCTATCTACATGTATACAGTCGGGCACAGCCTCCTGTTGTAGTAACTTGCAACTGCGCCAGTGCCATCCTTCTTGCGATTGTGCAGCATTTATAATCTGCCTCTCCTCGATCCCCCCAGGTCCATCTCCCAAGAACCTGTGCATCTATCAATGTGCCGAAGAAAGCAAAAATCATTGACCAAGCCCTTGGGTTTATCGAAAAATTTACGTCACCTGTTGGATTTTTAATGCATGCTTCAAATACAGGCTACGATGCCGACTCCCGAGCCCATGGAAACCCTCCAAGGGCGGGCACGCTGTCTAAACAAAAAACCCTGTGCCAGCAGCAGGTAGGTAACCTTTAGCTTGAGCTCCACACCTTCTCCCGCGCCTACCGGGTGCTTTACCGTCCTAGTGTTTTAAGAATTTTGGGGACCATGTTGGACCCATCTTCTCGGGTCTACGGCATCAGATGGACCATTGATAATAGGAGAACCTCTCTTGTCTGGTTAGTTATACAGCCATTACATAGGCACTGGGTTTTTCCCTATAGATGACGCTCTGTCCTTTTTCTTTTTGCCATCGTTTTCATATCTTGTCTGTAACTCCACCTGCCAGCTTATCCCAGCTTGTCAGTGTCGTTTTTTTTCTCTTTCAGAACATACAAACAACAATATTGCAATGCTAGAACCCAGTGATGTCTCTCTCGATATCGAAAGAGCAGAAAGACAAGCTTCCCATCAACTCCACAGTCCCTCAAACACAGATAGCCCTGTAGAGCCTGACTACCCCTCCAGCAGTTCCTCGGATACACATACAAACAACGATGATGACCTGAGTAGGCAATATACGCACCGCGACATCATCCCTGGGCCTAGGAATGAAGACTCAAACAGGATCCAGCTCGAAAGGCAGAGGACCCACTTATCAATATATAGTAATACAGTGGGACGTACGGTGAATGATTATGCGGCAAAGGATGGACTGCCTCCGTTTGGTGGTGGGAAGGAGTACCCGCCACAACTGCCACATAGGGAGCAGTACGTGGTGGAATTTGAGGGCAGTGATGACCCAATGCATGGGCAAAATTGGCCTTTAAAAAAGAAGTACGTTTGTTGCAGTACTTGTATTGATATGTCGATATATCAATTCGTTGACGGGGTATTAACTTAGCATCACAGGATGATTACAGCTGCGGTCTTGGGATACACCACTTTAGTTTCAGCATGGGGTAGCAGCGTGTTTTCATCTGCAACAGAAGCTGTAGCTAGTTAGTATTTCTTATAATCCTCATAATGATCCAGGGGAAACAGACAGCTAAACTCTTGCTTGTTGCAGTCTATTTCGGCATTAGCGCCGAAGCCGCAATTCTTGGGCTCTCATTTTATGTATATCCCAACAGTTTTCTTTTGGTGTCATTAAATTCCTAACGTCACCTCACAGGTCCTTGGATTTGCCAGCGGCCCCTTAATCTGGGCGCCCATGTCCGAGCTCAAGGGCCGCCGCCTTCCTCTCATTCTCGGCATCTTCGGCTTCTCCATCTTCCAGATCGCCGTTGCTGTAGCCAAAGATGCCCAAACCGTCTTAATATGTCGATTCTGGGGTGGATTTTTTGCATCCTGTCCTTTGGCGGTCGTAGGTGCTGTATTTGCAGATATATTCACACAGGAGACCCGGGGGTCTGCTATTGCAGTGTTTAGTATGGCTGTTTTCTCGGGACCGTTGATTGCGCCGATTGCTGGAGGCTTTATCACTGAGAGCTATTTGGGGTGGAGGTGGACGGAGTACACCACAGCTATTATGTGCGTATTTATGCGTTTTATCGAGTGCCCGGGTCGAAATTGACTGAGCTAATGCTATGATAACAGGGGCTTTGTGGCGCTATTCCTAAATATCTTCTTTTTAGAAGAGACATATCCACCAGTTATCCTTGTTGCGAAAGCGTCAGAACTGAGAAGGCTCACGAGAAATTGGGGAATACATGCAAAGCAAGAAGAGATCGAGGTCAACTTTAAAGAGTTGATATCAAAGAATTTTGGACGTCCTTTGAAATTGCTCTTTAGTGAGCCGATTATATTCTTACTGAGCCTTTATACTGCATTCATCTAGTGAGTTATTTTAACATTAGTTCTTGAATAATTAAAACACTAACAATCATAAGTGGTATATTATATATCTTCCTTACAGCATATCCTATAGTTTTCCGTGAAATCAGGGGTTATACTCTCGGTGTGGCCGCGCTTCCATATCTGGGGATGGTGATCGGAATGATTTTGGGAGGCCTTATGGTGATTGCATTTCAACCATGGACCAACAAGAGAATGAGGGCGAATAATAATGTGCCAATCCCGGAGGATCGATTGGTACCGGCGATTATTGGGAGTATAGTGTTTCCTATCGGATTGTTCTGGTTTTCTTGGAGGTATTTTTTTACTCCTCGCTATTATGCGGTGTGTGTAGTAGAATAACAGAATACTGACATAAATCATATAGCGGGAACTACCCTGAAGTTCACTGGGTGGTACCCACTCTAGCCGGTATTCCCATCGGAATCGGCCTCATCACCATTTTCCTCCAGTCACTCAATTATCTCATAGACGCTTACCTCATGTTGTAAGTTTCCAACCTCTACCTGCTTCAATAGAACCACTCCTAACGCCCGAAACAGCGCTGCCTCAGCTATTGCTGCAAACACCTTTCTGCGCTCTGTCTTTGCAGCAGGGTTTCCGCTGTTTGGAAGGCAGATGTTCCATAACCTGGGTGTCAACTGGGCAGGTTCGTTGCTAGGGTTCATTGCAATTGCAATGATACCAATACCAATTTCTTTCTTCCTGTTTGGGGCTAGGATTAGAGCGAGGTCGAAATGGGCCCCGACAACGGAGGTGAATGGTAAATGAGAGATGTAGAGGAGTGGAAAAGGTAGTGTTTTAAAGGGTTGTTAGATAGACCTGAAAAGTTTGAAATGGTTTAGGTTTATACCTACTTACTTGTACATACATGTAGATATTTGCTTATGTGTTCTTTAATTATTGCGATTTATCCATACATACTTAACCGCATTGTTTTATGGGCCCCAGTTAGTACCAAAGATGGAAATATATAATAATAGTGATTTATAATCGAGCTTCGGAGGTTTACCACAGCTATAGTGTAGCAGTTACCATAATATCACATCAAATGCAGCACTAATTCTGCCTGCTTTCTTAGTACTGCAGTGGATTAACTGAGGTGGGCGGCCTGTTTGGATGGGCTATAGTGTTATATGTTTCTCTTAATGATGATGAAATATTTCGAGGTACATATATACCATTGGATTTATTGGGTATTATGAGAAGATTAGTACATATTTTCTTGAAAAGTCTAAGATCGGGATATGCCTCCAAAGATGTACGTACATGTATCAAGTATGTAGTTTATGTGAACACCGTAATTCTGTATCGACTTCCAGATCCGGCAACGTCGTCAACATCTAGATATAATAAGATTCTGGCTTTTTTAATGTCACATAGATGCACCTACACCACCTTTGCATCTATATCTCTTTATCTCACCGTTCCAATAAACTCGATCTTTATAACTAGCTCGCATCAAATGAGATGGCGCCATCCGGTCCTAAAATCTCTAAAAATTACTTTATTCAACCCCTGGTCTTCTAGAAGATACATGATCCCCTATATTACTCATCATGCATACATATAATAGCCTTAAAGTCAAGGCTACAAGAGCTCTAGACAACGGGCCTATCATGCTCTATATCACAAGTCACTTTTATGAATAGATTTCAATTCGTACGACCACGGGTGCATACGATATCACTCGATGCCCTGCATCCCAAGGAACATGGTACGGCTGTATGTACTGTACATGCACCCGGGGAGATCGCAGGAAACTAGAGTACTTAGTTGAAACAGAGGATGTACGGCACATACTCGGGGCAGGCAATAAGAACCTGAAAATGCAAGCTGCAAGCAGGTGCTCAATTTGGTGTAGCTTTTCGCCAGCCGCGAATCAGAGGTTGTTACCATCAAAAGTCATTTTCAGGTTCTTCTTACCTGTCCCGCGTATACCCATAAATTCAGACGTCTCCGAATGTCACAACCAGGCCTACATCTAGGTTATATCTTGCATGAGACACTTGGCTTTGGTGCTACGCAGACCTGGTTCTGTTCGGAAACGTCATTAACCTACATACACTACTAGTAGGTGATCATGAATACTTCCACCTGTAGAGTAATAAGCCACAGCCGCAGCTACGCTACTGAGTCCAGCGCAAATAGGCGAAATCCCTCCCATCCTGTGTAACTTGGCCCCATGATATATCCGGGAGACACTGGAGGTGCAATGTTTCGCAGTTTCTATTCGGGGGATTTTTAACCCAGTGAGGTTAATCCTTCCGTGCTAGATAAAACACAATGGTGAGCTTGTCTGATTACGTTAGTGGCAAGTAAAGTAACGTATGTACCTACTCTAACTGACTAATTAAGCCTAGGGTTAATTTCAAGTCTCGGAATAACTGTGGGTTTGTGGTCATGTCAGCCTAACGTATAGTCCGTATTCTCGCTCGGGGTTCCAGTTTTGATATCGTTCTCAGATTTTTTTTTTCTCAGTAGCCCTGAGCAGCGCCAGCTTCAAACCAATGGGAGTTCGAAATGTATCAGGTACTTACCAAGATTATACGCCCGTCTTCTAAATCTATAGGCCATAATACCCGCAAGTCTCTGCCGTTTTTACAAGTGAAGACTAAACCTTTGAAACGGTTCCCTAGGTCCTGGAAACTTGAAGGTGCCAATTGTTTTTAATAACCAGTAATGTAGTGGGGTGCGGAGAATTAGATATAAATCGAGCTAGCTTTCTTCATATATATTTAAGTAGTGATATTCACCAGAGCTTATTTGACCGATTTTGAATGAGATCTTATCCAAATGACTTTAGAATTACTCTAGCGGTCATGGCAATAACAGCTTGTGGGTCGCAGTCAAAATTTCGGAAGATAATCGAAATCGTAATAGGCATACATACGTACATGCGTGCGTGTGCAAAGATTCACTCAGTTCTTGCCACAATGGCTCTCATGGACATGCTTGAGGCTAAATATAAACATGGTGGATCCAAGTCAGATCATGAACTATCATTCGTTCAGTAAGTTTTCAATCACTGAACGGCAAATCACGCCGAATCGAGGCATAACTAAATCCTGCTACATGTGAAGACGTAGTACATACTCGTGTCACCATTTGAGTCCCTGTGTTTGTATTTTCTGTTTTCGCCCTCCAGTCAAAATCCAACATCGCTTATGTTAGACCAATCGGGGAATAAAAGGTACCAATGAGTGCCCTTATTAAGCGTTTTGATACAGGGGCCGAGTCCTGATAAAGTACCAATACAATCAACGTGTTTCCCGAATCAGGTGATAGGTAACTGAGACTTCGGTATGTCACTCGGAGTTGGTGAACTTTCAGGCGCTTTCTCGTGGATGTGATTGCAGAGTTGAGCCAGTAAGCTTACTACGACTACCTTACTATGATCTGGAAAAGTTTTCTGGCACAGTATGCGAAAGACGAGAACGGCGCCTACCGAGAAAATGTTGTTTCAGATGCCCAGACTTCATGGGTTGAGATATTGCCACTGAAAAAACCAGTCTCTCGGGCCGGTGGGATCTCGGTAGACAGAGACGGCAAAACAGGACCCAGTCTCGATCCACCAAAATGATCTTCCTGTGTGTGGGGGAGGGTAAGATTTTGACCGCGATCAACTAGTATGTATCAGTAGCTACCGTAAAAGTTGGAGCGTTGCACCCGGGTGTTAAATAAGATCCTAGTAAGTTTCTCTCACCAAAAACTGAAGGATTCGCCACAGTTCGAGCAATAATCGGTGCTTTTTACATACCAGGATCTTCTCTAACGCCCGGGCTTTACTCGGGGCAGGCAAAAAGTACCGGACAATGCAAGTTTTGTCTCTGGGCTTTTTTCGCAGTAGTTCACGCCTAGCACGCGCGCCCATTGGTGAACCAAAAACCTGCATTGTCCGGTACTTTTTACCTGCCCCGAGTACGCTCCAAATCTTGCGGTATTGCAGTTTGTCCACCAGACAGCTTCAAGGCTTTTTGTGGCACAAAAAGCAATGTTTCGCTCCCATGTTCTAGACTTTCTGTTCATGCTGCATCCTTTTGGTACTCTATTTATTTCCTTTTTTTTTTTCTTTGCTCAAGTTTCTGATGATATGATGGGTCGATATGTCTTAAACTTAATTAAGGCTTGCCACCAGTTTATGGCGCAATAGAGCGTTTTGGCACTTCCCCAAATTCTAGGTCAAAATTTGAGTTCTTGGCGCTGCGCTGCTACAAGCATTTACAGGTTGATCTTCCAGGATCTGCTGCGATTTCACACCAAAGAAGCAACGGAATCGCTTCTAGCGGCGCAGAGCCAAGAACTCAAATTTTGACCTAGAAATTTGGAAAAGGGTGGTTGCCAAAACGCTCTAATACCATTCAATTCGTGATTCTCAAAAGTAAAGGAAAAAGAAAAGAAACGAAAGAAGGCCAGCACCTGGAATCCGTGACTTTTCCTTCTTTGGGGGAGAGAAAAAAACCAGTCGAGCGGTGGCGCATTTGCTGTGAGGAGATTGCTGGTATCTGCACAATGACACATGCAGACATTCGTTGCTGGGTACTTCACAGTACGTTACGCACTCTGACACCGCTTTGAGGTGGGTGCAGTTATTCCTGCATCATTAGATAAACAGACAAGTTAATTGAGAGGTTGCCCAGATTCATCTAGGCTCAAAACTACAAAAAATAGTGCCGGTTATATGTAATCGAGTCGCTAACCATGGGCCAGTAGGAGTGATCCGACATCGTGGACATGTCTTGGATGTAGAGCTAATTGGAATTAATTTCAAATTGGTACTCTAGCTTGGTATGTATGTACCATACACCTACGTCTATCACTGTGATCTACCTTACTCTCGTTTGGTGGCTCTGGTTCAGAGCTACATGATGTGAGTCAAAAGTGTCTCAGGGTTTTGTAGGTACCACTTGATCCACAAGCGTTTATACTGACAATTAAGGAGGACAAGCGCCTGCTGTCTTCCCACATGAACTTGTAGGAGACTCACTGAACCGACAATGCCATCATTGGATCCCTTAGCTTCTTGATTGAGCGACTTCAAAATCTTTCTAGTCCAAATGGACTCACCAGTTAGGTATTCATGTGTTCTATTTTATGCAAATCCGAGTGATCTTAGCTGCGAAGCCGTCCACGACTCCAAACAAAAGAAGATATGCGGAAGAACACGAAGCATACCCTACATACTAGCACTCAGCGCAAACCGACATTGCCAGCCGTCACAATACAGATTTGTTGGCTCTTGGCAAATTCAGAAACGGGTGCATGCATGCATGCCGACATCGGATGCCAATCCTTTCTGAAGATTACCCCCCCAACTGCAGCTTTAAAATTTTGTCAAAAATCCCCACCTAAGTGATAACAAACTAAGGAAAGAAATGAAGTGTAATAACCCTAGTAATAACCCTATGGAAACATAAAGAAACATTATGCAAAGATAAGATCCTGTAAACCAAAACGCCGGATATAATATACAAGTTCAATGAGATGTGGATGGTGCAATTGGAAGTCGATTTGTAAAATGGAAAAGAAGAGAAACTTGTGAACTTATGCAGGAGCGATGGGGCATCCCAGCTATTAGAAGTTCGGCTCGAGTCCGATCAAGAATGGGACGACTGTGAGTGATTCGATGACTCGTCTTCAGCTTTGCTCCTTTTTGCTTTTCGTTTGGTTCCATTATTATTCCATGGCGGTTTTGTTATTGTACTGGTAGAATCTGTATTCTGTGCTGCAGAAGCATCAGCAGGGAGCAGAAACCTCCAATCCCATGAACGAGCAATCCAATCCTTATGATCTACTCCTCCACATGGCTCCCTCAAGATTTCCAGAAGGTCGTCGGTAGTGTTTAAAGCTTGTCCAAGGGACCATTTATTCGTCCATTGATTATCCAGTGCCAACCATGCCTGCGGAGAAGCCTGGTCTAGGGGTAAAATTCGCCCTAGATGTGAATCGGACGGTATCGGAGGTTTTAAAGCCATCCAGAATGGTATCAAGGTCTCCAAGTATTGTTTACAGGTTTGGTGATCCGGCCGTGGACTCGATTTGAGTGTGTTGATACATTTTGGAATTATATCGGCGATGTCGTCGATAATAGGAGGTTCTGTAACAGGCCGCAGGGAGATATCAAGAAAAACTATAACACATGCTGTGAAAGCAGAACTTCTGTATCTTAGTTAGGGATGATTCAAGATACAATGTAGAAGGAGAGAGGGTGATGTGGAAACCTTACATAGTAAGCCATCCCTTAGTTTGCTGTTTATCCCCTTCAAATAACATGTCAAGAACTTTGCATAATCCCCTCGCAGCGCTTATACATTTGTTGGCATAAAAAACTTCGAGTGACCCATTTTCCTGCGGACACTTCGATCGAGTCGCGGTATTGGCCACTTTAAGCAAGACACGACGGGTAAGGATAATAACAGATCTCAAATATGCGCAGTAGGCCTGAAGCATAACAGCTTTCTGCGTTTGTGGGATCGAGTGATCAAGTATGACCAAGTGAAGAGCGAGTGGGCTAGGCAGGCAACTATACCAAGCCTGAAGCTTTTCCATGTGAGTTTTAATGGTTGCAAAATTGAACGAGTGTTGTGAAAGACTATCGTCTTTAGAAATGTCACTCAAAAGCCTAGCGATATTTTCAAATTCGTTTCTAATGCGATCTGCCGTCATGCGTCGATTTTGTTCACTAGAAATAGTCTAAAGAGATCGAGATTAGCCCACATATATAAAAATGGGGATATTACTTTAATAAGTACCTGCAGTGATTCGTCGGGGCTCTGGGGATCGCTCCTTCTCAAGGCATTCTCGGTATAACTTCCATTGCTATCATCTCCGCTTGAGTGGTAGGGGTCTGTGAATTGATGCTGCTGGTTCTGCTGACTTGGATAATCAATACCACCATTTTGCACCATTTGATTATTTACCATATTGCTTCTCCCTGCCTGTGCTTGTTGTTCGCGATGGTTCCTTGAATTGGTAATATCAACGATTGTGTGAACATATCCGTACACATTCACCGTGAACTCTGCAGACACCCAGCGAACATCCCCGTTCGGATGAACGAAGCGATAATCCTGTTTTCGTAATCTTCCATCTTCAAAGGAAAAGAACCTAGAAACACGCTCTCTGTCCAGGTGATGTACGGCGCTTAACCAATTGCCATCTTGCCGTATTCGATAATCATGAAGACCGGATAGCTCGCAGAAACGTTCGTTGACAAAATATTGATGCCGTCCCTCAAAGGATGTCCTTCCACATATACCCACGGGGACGGAGCTATGGTGTCCATTCGGATCTGGGGGTTGTGTGTGGGTTTCAATGGCTGGTGCTGAAAAATGCTCCAAAGTTGATTGGAGTGCTGATTCCGAAATTTTGCGACGAACGACTTCTGCCTCCAAACATCTAGTCTGTTGCTGAAGCATTGCAACAATGGTATCTCGATCTTGTGAATCGCCTAGAAGCGGATACTTCTTCTCGCCGGGGACGACATGGGAGTGTGACAGACATATCTGTTGGAAAACATCGCTGAGACCATCCGCCTCGAAAACAGACATATCGTATCCACATAAGAGCGACGCATCCTTCCCATTAACTGCTAAGAAACGCTCCCATACCTGCTCCAGTTCATGGGCTAGTAAGTGCGATCCACGTTCGCAGAGAATGTTGACCAATTCTCCATAAGCGAGAATCCTGGGATACTGTTTCCGAACATCCTGAAAGACCTTCCCAAAATAGCTATCGAACGCCTGGCCATCGACTTTATCCCCGTTCAGGAGCGATGGCAATAAAGCATCCGCATCCACAAGAATCAGTTGGCCGCGCTCCTTGAGAAGCCCGGGTGCAAGATTCTGTTCCCTTAAATGAGCCTCAAGTCCATCAAGATGCTGCCGCGTAGCAATGATAATAGCTGCATTTTCTGTACTGAAAAACGAGGGTAGAATAAATTTTGAGACGGCGTCGTATAAAAAACATTCGGCTTCGTAAAACTGGATCAAGTGTGTGCAGCGCGGAAGTGCTGGAGGCGCTGCTTTCTTGCGTGATGCCTTACTACCGGCAGTACCAGGTCCTGCCATGGAGTTCCGACTATAGAATCACCCTGGTGCTAAATGAAAGGGATGAAGACAAACTCTGCTGGATTGATCAGTGAAATTTTGGTCGGATGGATCGATGAGAGTGAAATGTAATAAAGGTGCGACTTTTCCCCCCTCGGATTGCGTATTTTGTGTGTTGTAAGTGGTATGGGTATGGATGGACTCGATGGCTGTAGGTAGACAAGCAGGTTTGGAGTGAAAGGATACATTTGTAAAGGTGGTAAGGAGAGGATCCGTGCGACCAGACAGTCTTAACATGGTATGATTATCGACATTACTTTTTTATTATTGAATGTATGTGGGGCTTGTAATAGATAATTGGCTAGAGCGCGTTGAGACATATATACACACATGCGCATTGAATTTTTTCGTGATAGTAGAAAGTTGATCAATTGATCCTACATACATACACCAAACCAGGTCCAACAGATTGGACACTCCCAATGCCGGGCCTGAGGAGGGTGTGTACTCTACACATAGAGTAGAGTACAGGGATCGTTTCTGCACGGTCAGCTTGTGAGCCACGATCCAAGATCGTAATTGACTTGGTCACAAAGGCTGAAAACTAGACCGCACAGACAGTTGTATCTTTTCAACGGCATCTACACAACCAATGTTAGGTTAGGGGTGCAACTTTTTAGAGGAGAAGGAGGGAGGGGAGGGATCAGTACTTGAGCACCAATCTGTCGGATACGATGCCCAAAGATTCGGGAAAGTGCAAATCTTCGAGTAGGTACATAGCGCCATGAGAAGAGTATGAGGGTAAGAGGAGGGACGGGCAATGCACAGGGACCGGGGGCGTAAGGTCCTTTGCCCGATTACAGCTTGGTAAGACTATGAACCTCAATCCGACGATAAGAATGGATCCATGGAGGTCCTATGTCATAATGTAGCCTTATTCAAGAAGGTCAGCTTCCTTCTGGGTGGTAGGCTTTAGGGGTCTACCCAGTAGCGCTAGTCGTTTCATTGATGTAGGGACAGTCCTGTGCCGTCGTATGTACACATGTATTTACGTCCCTCTTTCGAACTGCTCTAGCATACCACCATCACTATTGCTACTAAACCTCTACACCTCTACATAATAGAGATTTACCCTACATGGCCTGATATCTAGGTACTAGTCACTCATGATTTGCTTTCTATCCGGCGAAGACTCCAATTTTGGAAGTCGATCTAATGTCAAATTTTCCAGATCGACTTGTACACATGTGCAGCAAGAGCGGGTCTTAGGAGATCCCGCGGTTATCGAAACCGTTTTTCTTATGGTCGATTCGCATTGCAACCACCTGTTGATCTTACAGTACAAATTCTATGTTGCAACAAGGTTCCTCGTCAAAGTTTCAGAATCTCGAGGCACCAGATCTAGATTAGGAAACCCCTAGAGCCAGATCTAGAAACTACAGAGCTTTCAAATCTCAATGTACAAGAGACCGTGGCGCGCGTAGCAAGAATACCGTAAGGCTTAGTTAGGCCTTTCCCATCATGCATCTAAGCATTTTACAAAACTTCCAGGCGAACATCTTTTATCAGGAGGGCAGATGAAGTTGAACCCTAGGTGTACAATTGCAAGGGTGTAAGCGAGATCTCACTGCATTCAAAGTAGCCATGGACGATGTCGGGTGTGGCAGCGGGGCCCTTGCGCAAAGCGACCGAGGTTCATGGCTGCAACATGGGATTAATTGAGATTACACCACTCCCTGATAACACGTTATTTCGAACTCGCCTTTTTTTAAAAAAAGATTATTCTCGAAGCCAATACCCACAGAATTTAAAGGAGAAATCAACGAAAAATAAAGCAGGGAATCTTATAATTACCTTCTAGCCGCATGTAAGCCTAGACCTTGTAGTTTTGGACGTCAGTGTCCCATCCGGTTACAAAAATACATAGTACTGTCGTTTACTAAAAGCAGCCCAGGCTAGTTTATTCATAGAAGTTTGGGGGGGCAAAATGTTGGGGGGGGCCAAAAACCTAAAAGCTCACTACACTTATGTTTCATAGGCGCCAGATTCTGAATTTCTAGAATTCCACGGTTTTCGGGACATAGCGCAGGGGGGCATATTACATACAATAATCAAAATAATTGCGCATGCGGTAATTATCAAGAGCACCCCAATATCCCGGGAAGATCCAAGGACAGTACATATGACCATAACTTCTTCGAGATTGGATAAAACTGAACGTTGCACCGCGTAGCCACATCAATAACCCCCGAAATTGTTAATGTGCTCGGAATTCCAAAAGGAGTGATAAAGTAGAACGAGTGATATTCCATGACCCAGTGATAGTGTTCATGGATTAGAGTTGTTGATTGCAGCCACATAACGGATGCTACATTTAGCTACATGTATTGACCAGGCAGGGATTGCAATAACAGCCAAGATGCCAAAGCCCAGTTCCTATGTACTCGCGAGAGGACCCCTGTTTGTTAACAGACGATATTCGGCGGTGAACTGTAATGGTACAATGTCTAAGGCAAGATCCAGCCGTGGTAGTACGGCAGAACTTTCTGCTTGATCTGTCAGACCTGCCGGGATGTTCGAGCCTTGAATGTGACCTTCGGTCCTACTGCATTACGCTGGCGACGTGAGTCGACTAGAACATCTCCTTTGAATTTCCCATCAACACCTAGGGCATTCGTGGACCTTTTAGTTATCTAGCTAGCCAGCTACACCCTCGAACATTGATCACCTGGCTGGATAGATATCGCAAGAGCGGTGAGGAAAATGTCACAAGGCCTATGTTAACGTTCTATGACACTTTTGTAGGGCGGATAATCCCGAATACACCCCCGCTACCCGGGCCCTAGCTACTATTTCTACCTATCCGTCCCCAGAGTACCCTACTGACCTACTCTTCACACTCTAGAATTAACGTATCGATATCATTGCCCTCCTGCAGCGCACGAGCCGCTCCGCGGGAAAAAAAAATCAAGGAAGAAAAGGAAATAAAGAAAAAGGTTGGCATTGCTTGGGGTTGGGGAAAAGTCCCCAGCATGACAAAAAAAAACCGAAATAGTTGGCGTGCAGATAAGTATGTACATATGTATATGCGTGACGCCATTTAGTGATTACTCTCTAGGGTATCAATAGGAAGTAATGTGCGTAGGTCATGATCATTGTACACTGGTCCAGTTGGATCGACCGAAACAGCCGAAAATGTAGGATGGGCAAGGGCGGAGTGATGCTTGCGATCGAGGCCTTCAATTGTTGTTCCACGGCAATGAATGAGGTGGACACACGTTTCAATACACAACAAAGGTGGAAGAGATTCAAGGCCCAAAGGTTTCTCAAACAGAAACTATTGGGATAATAGGAATTGGTGTTGACTTCCTGTTATAGGGGATTTAGGATCGTTGCTTATCTGGCTGATAGGTCACAGGCCAACACCGCCGTCTATTCTTGCCTAAATCTAGGCGTTGATGTGTAATAGGATCGATATCTGGTATCCCAACGGTTGTGGATCACTTGCCCTATGTGAGAGTTCGAGGGCCAAGCTATGTCTCGGAGAGTGCCTAATTATAACATGCCAGGGACCTAGAAAAAAGCACGAGATGACTGGGGAGGTGTCAAGACCCCTCTGAGGGTTGGTTGGAGTCAAAATAGAGGGAACGTCAACGACATTAAGATAAGATCATGTACGTGCTGTTTCAAAGAAAATAAAAAATTTGCTGATCATATTTTGGTGAAGTGAAAACAATAGGTTATAATTAGTAATTATAAGAATATATAGGGAATAGTTCTGTCTTTTTTGTTTTGTCTTCATACCTGCAGCCTGGTAAATTTGTATAATTGCATCCGTTGACATCACACAATTAGCTTCGGAACGTCTTGAAGTATCCCCGAACTGGTTAGCTACCGAAAGCCTCACCGAGCGGCCTTTGGGGGAGGGAGGGAGAAGGAGGCGTCCGAACATCCCCCGAAGGCTTCGGAGACCAGAATTTTGATACGCCAGGTCTGTGCGGCAAGCCTCGCACAATAATCCCAGGGGATGGGACTATTCTTTATGTTACAGTGCACCATGTAAGCAAATGTGCACACAGCAAATAGAGCCGTCAAAATGAAGAGATTGGAGTGCCTCTCTTAGTCGAGTACTCTAGTGGGCTGACACCATGTCTAGATGTGTGGCCGGTACATATAGATACAGGGTCGAAAAGCTTCGGGTCCGAACCCGTCGCGTCTCACGATATCAGGCGGTCCCTTTGGATGATAAAAGCCAATACCGAGCTGAAGTAAAACCTGAATCTCCGAGAAGTACTTAGTTTACGTACCTAGCTAGGTATACCTATTCTAACCGTACTTTACCCAGGACCTAAACATTTCGGACCCAAATTGGTAATGAGATCTCCAGCTTTCGAATTTCTCTAGGCCTTTTAACATGTGCAGTCTGTAAAAGGTGGATTGGGAGTCCGGCGGTTACTTACGTGCTAGCTACATAGTAGTTTAAGAACTGATTAATTGCGCAATCAATAATTGTGAGGACACATGAGGACGCGTAATGGATGTTATAGGCTCAGATATACTAGGCCAACTATCCGATTATATTACCTGATCTGATAGACGACGACGTTGATGGAGCTCCTACATATTGTCCCATAGCTAGAGTCAGAGTCATCACAGGTCACTCGTGTATCAGAGTGGCCTGATCTGTACATGACAACCACTACAAACCATCCAAAACGCTCCACTAGGCCGTATCGCTTTTATCTATTTACGATGTTTTCGATCCAGATGTCTAAGAATGCCAGAAGCCATGGTTCACCTACATGCAGAGAACTACGGCTAGCTGTGGTGGAGACTCGACATGATGTACCTGTATGTACGTATATGTAGTACTAGGAAGCTCTACAATCCAACCACCCAACAATGCCGGAGATGGCAATACCTACGTATACTTTTTTCTTCCCGAAAACCAGATACGTCTCGGGAACTCCATAAACGGTCACCGGCGCCTCCTTTTTCGTTTCTTTTTTATTCCATTCCCGTCATAAATCCTTGTGTATCTCACAACTAATAGGTATGTAAGTTTGCTCACTCCTCGGATAGAATGTATGTAGATACGTAACATTCGGGGCCGGGCTTGCTGACATTTAACCTCTCGCTCGTCGTTTCGGGACCGGTATCAGTGCTTGGGTGTGGAGAACCTATTATCTCGATACTACCGCACTCCTCTTGCCTGAGAAGACATGTCGATCCCGGCCGAGGGTTTTGCCTTATAAAATCCTAGGATATCGGGATACATATCGCAGCAGAGCTCGACCAGTATACATGTATTTTATGTGCTCTAAGACTTCAGTGTGCAGGAAAATACCGGGCCTCACGCCACTACTCGGTCTCCATCTCTTCGATCCGAACGGGATATGCCGTTCTGCGACGACGCAACTTGGTTGTGGCTGGATCGCTGAGATGCCCCGGGAACAGGAAGCTTATTGCTTTTGCGGGGTAATTAAGGCTCTGTCGCTTAGGCTTAACCAGTTCCTGGGCAAAGCCTCGGATCTCCCCGCCCTGGGGCCATTTAGCCAAATGGCTTCAGGAATATGGCATACCAAAAACTTCATCACTTAGATGCATTTGATCAACAAAAGGTCTGATATCTCTTGGAGATTTCAGTTATTCCCTTACCCTACTGACTCGGGTAAACCCCTACTTTTATGTAGGCTAACTACAGAATTAGTCTGGAAGCTTGGTCTGTCTATAGCTAGCCAGGTGATGAGGTACCCGCAGAGAAACACATCTAAATTCAATGGCTTTCCCCGCAAACTGTGGGGAAGCAAGGAACCTTATTTTGGCTATATGGTTCAACGGCTAGAGAGTTACCTATAACTATGAAGTACCTACACGAAATACGATGGGTGATTAAGTGACGCTCCGGATCCTCTACCACGGATAATATCATGATCCTTGAATGGTAGTCAAAGGACACAACTCGTGAGAATACTACTCGACGGACCAAATTAACCCGTTTAATTAAGTACTGCTTTCAGAATTATAAATACAAGTCAGAGTCCCATATATATAACTGTGTAAGTAACTTTGCCAATTGAGGGCTCACTTCGGACCTAAACTCTAAAGATGCAGTATCAATTCTCGGGGCCCACAATCCTCACCTTTTTGAAATTATGTGCAACTACTCTTGCGGTAAACCTCGTAGTTTCGAGCGAGTATGGAAATAAAACGAGTCCAATCATGTATGGCCTGATGTTTGAGGTGTGTAGAAGTAGCCCGGCCAAAGACTACATAGTGCTATCTCATCTGCCAAGGTGTAGTAGTACCTATACAGTCAGCTAATAGTAGCAACAGGATATCAATCACTCCGGCGACGGTGGTCTCTACGCAGAACTAATCCGCAACCGTGCCTTCCAAGGCTCTGGTAATACCACAAATCCAACCCTTGCTGCCTATCGCGCTGTCGGCGATGCCGTCATATCCATTGATACCACCAACCCGCTCTCCCCCGCGCTGAAAAATGTAATGAAGGTCACCCCAATCTCATCAGACGCTACCCAAGTGGGTTTTCTCAATGAAGGATTCTGGGGAATCAATGTGAAAGATCAAGAATACACCGGAAGTTTCTACGTCAAGGGACAATATAACGGGGCATTCATAGTTTCACTCAAGTCGAACCTTACGAGCAAGGTATATGCACAGAAGAAGGTCAGGTCCGCGTCGAAACCGGATGTATGGACCAAACATGAGTTTGTGCTTCACCCAGAAGCCGCACCGAACGTGAACAATACATTGCAGATCACATTCAACGCCAAGGGCTCGGAGGAGGGGCTGTGGTTTAGTATGATTAGTCTGTTCCCACCAACATACCATGGAAGGTGTGTAACCAGCTACTAAATGATAGAAGTTATGGGAGACGCTAATAGAGAATTGTATTAAAGGAAGAATGGGTTAAGGAAGGACTTGGCGGAGAACTTGGAGAAGTTCAAACCAACTTTTCTGAGATTCCCAGGTGGAAATAATCTGCAAGTGCCCAACGATCCCGGCTGTAAACTGTATTTTGCTGACCCTCCTTTAAGTGAGGGAGACGAACCTCCATACCACTGGAAATGGAATGAAACAATTGGTCCATTAATAGACCGCCCTGGTCGTCCAGGTAATCATGAATTCCTTTTAATTAAGCCTTGCCGAACAATTTACTCAACGAACCAAGGTACATGGGGTTATGAAAACACAGATGGCCTAGGATTAGTTGAATATATGGAAGTATGTCACGAACTAAAAGGCCTAAGAACATAGCTAAATCCTAGGCAGTGGTGCGATGATATGAATCTGGAACCAATACTTGACGTCTGGGCTGGCTATTACCTCTCAGGACCTACAATCCCCCAAGAAGAGCTAGAATTTTACATCCAAGACGTCCTCAACGAGCTTGAATTTCTCATGGGCTCCATCGATACTCCCTACGGTTCCCTCCGTGCCCAACTCGGTCACCCTAAACCCTGGGTGATCAACTATGTCGAAGTTGGCAATGAGGATGATGTCGGCGGGGGCGCATCATACAGCGCCTACCGCTTTCCAATGTTCCGCGACGCCATCAAAGTTGCATACCCGCACATGACGATCATTGGCTCCACCCCTAAAATCGACCCTATACCAGATGGTGCATGGTTAGATTATCATAGATATACAAGACCGGATGACTTTGTGTCGCTTTTTGGTATGTTCGATAATTGGAATAGAAGTCATCCGGTATTTGTGGGAGAGTACGCATATATTCAACCTAATAAACCAGGCGGCGGGGGCCCGGAATGGGGTGGGGCGTGGAGGTCCCCATATACGACGTTGATAGGGATGATATCAGAGGCAGTGTTTGCAATTGGGATGGAGAGGAATGCGGATTTGGTCAGAGCGGCGGCGTATGCGCCTATATTACAGAACTTGAACAGTTACCAGTGGAGCGTAAGTTCCCTTAACATTTCAACTAATCAGCCATACCCATACCTCAGGTTCAAAAAGGTATTGGTAACTGACAGTTTTCTGATTTTCAGCCTGACTTGATATCCTTCACAGCCGACCCAGAGGAGACTGCGCTTTCAATCAGCTATTACCTCCAAAAAGTATGTATCTCTACAGTTATAGTATAAAGATATTATTGTAACACTTTCTAGCTCTTCTCAACCCATCACGGAACTACCGTACTTCCGGTCACCTCAGATGTCAAATTTGGACCACTGTACTGGTCTGCATCCAGTACCGATGATGGTGGATACTACCTCAAAATTGCCAACTACAACGGTACTACAACCACTGTAACTTTCGAAGTCCCTGATGACAACGTTATCAAGGGTAAACTTACAACTTTAAGTGCACCTTCTCCATTCTCCGAGAATAGCCCAAAGAATGAGACAAGTATATGGACGGAAAAGGATGTTATTAAGGGCGCAGATGGGAAGTTCGCGTTTGATTTGCCGGATTTGACGGTTGCTGTTTTGGCGGTGAAGTAAATGGAATACCTACATGTAGCTATAGGCTGTATCTGTATAAAGATCAAATCTCCTACCGCAGAATCTCAGGAATAACGAATCGAACTGGGCTGGAATACCACTTACCCATTGGTCAAGACGACCAAAAGTTACGCTTTAGGTCTGTCGGATTGAGGCTCAACAAGCATTTGACCAATCCGAAGCACAATATTCCAGTCCAGTTCGATTCGTTATTCCTGAGATTTTGCGGTAGTGGAAGCAACAAAAAATCTTGGTCAGCGCTAGAGCCAGAAAGGCCAGTTAACCACTTAGAAGACCGGAGCATCAAGACCTGGTATCAAAAAAAAAATTTTATAATTGTGACGTACTATCCGCAGTAAGGCTATGTATGATTTGGTGTGTGCTCTGTCATACAGATTTGGTCCTTCTGACTGCATCTCAACCTTCTGTTTGGATCCCATGCACCCTACAACAGCTGCAGCTAGCTCAGCCGAAAAGCTACATGAGATCGAATTGAAAAGATACAGTATGGTGCGATCGATTGCTACTAACCATCCCCGGAGTAGTTATTAAAATGGTACGATATTTGCAGCGTGTTGTCTGTACTATTTAACCGGATGGCCAATCAGGAACCTCGTCCCTCAACCTCCGAAGAACTACAGTACAGTACATGCAGTTTTGTACCCTCAAAATATAGTTGCACATCTTCTTCGAAGGTAGGTACCCGGGGCAGGCAATAAGAACCTGAAAATGCAAGCTGCAAGCAGGTGCTCAATTTGGTGTAGCTTTTCGCCAGCCGCGAATCAGAGGTTGTTACCATCAAAAGTCATTTTCAGGTTCTTCTTACCTGCCCCGAGTATTATTGTGGGTTATGGGTTAATGAGTTGTTTTCTTATAGGTTATAAGGGAGGTGAGTAGCTGCTAGAGTTTGAGTGATCATGATTTTGACTTGCTCTTGCATCATGATACCCCTTCTAACTCGAACGGTAAGTCTGATGTACATAAAAGAGCCGTTAAAATCATAGTATAGTGGCTTTATCATTAATGGCGCTGGGGGCTGCAAGTAAGTACTAATATCAATATTGGACGTACATGAGGTTATCACTGCGCAACATCGTGTCAATCTACGCACTAAAATTCAAGCACCTTCATTACGCGCACAGATTTTGATTGCAGTTCCACTAAACTTCTGGTGTCAAATCTGGCTAGTTCTGGCATATTTGCCGCAACCTTTAGAAGGCGCGCGCAGCAGCGCAAAACATGCCTCTTTAGGTACCATTTTGTGTGGAGTAGCGCAAAGTAAACTTCAGGCCCGGCTCCGATTTGCCGGAAGCACGAGTTGATGTTCCCCGCTTCTGTGATTGGTTATAATCGACTCCAACATGCCCAAGATGTCGATAATATCAATAATTTCAAGCTCTTCATGTCCGAGCTGGTAAGTACATACATATGCTGCTGCTGCAAGCATTACTCTTTAGGTGGAGGCTTGCGGTAGACTGGGCTAGTAGATATACACCAGTGTGTAAGTACGTCGGGTAGGTTCTCCACGGAAGTCTGTGAATTGGCCATAAAGTTGCTACATGAAAGCCTTAAACTTGACTGACTAACCTACTCTATTCTGTGCAGCATCGTCTCCATACCATCATCATGCAAGTATCATTCGATAAAGGTCACCAAAGATAGGTCTAAAGGCAGGGGAGACATTTCAGCGTCAACCTCAATCATAATTGCCGTAGGCGCTCCGGCCATTGATTTCACAAATTTTACTCTACCTAGAAGGGAGAACCGTTGGTGCACGCGTCTCGTCGTGCATCCTACCAGTCAGTGCACCGTTGGTTAGATACTTCAAGGTGACAGTGACATATAAGACAAAAACCAGAGAGAGACAGGACCTGGGGATTCACTATGACCGTTGAAAATCTGAGATATATACTCGCTATGACAACATCCTTTCCCGTGTAAAGCTGCCTAGTTTATTTGGAGATTCTGGAACGTGGTCCGTGAAATTGAGGTGCCAAACTTAGGTGTTTCGGACATCTTTCCTGGTACTTGGATCCGGAAGCTTTCTCTTTTCTTTCTGCTCTTGTAGAAATTGATAAACCGGCATGTTCTTTAGTTTTCCGGACCATAGGCTATCTCTGGATAGTACAACTGCTCTATGTACATGCCCCGGAGAAATTTCGAAATTAATGGCTAGTATCAGGGGTGTTTGAAGAAAGTAGTTCAATGTGCCTCGGGGAATTAAAGTTGAATTAACAAACTGTTACATTCTCCGATTTTGATTACTTATGTTAATTAATATCAGTACATATCACGAATAAGCAAGTGACCTTTTTTCAACCTCTTAAACCTCCTATTTACATGCAAGCCCCGGGACAAGGGAAAGCTCCGGACCCAAAGTATAGCACTAAGCAAATAAAGGCGCTAAGACCACATAACCTTCTTCCGCCAAGAAGACCCGCGTGCTTTTGAAACCTTTGCTTATCGTCTCAGGCCCCTGAACATGATCTAGTGATATCAAGCACAGATACAAGCTCGGTATATAATCCGGCAAATGGACGTACATTCGCGTCTCAAACATCCAATTGTTTATTCTGAGAACAGCCAGGATGCCTTAACTATATGTACATATATTCTTGCTTCTTTGGATGTATATGCTGTACTGTGGTTAAGCATTTTTGTGGTTTATGCAAACTCTAATAAGATTAGCACATATGCTTCTCGCCCGAGTATCTAGTCAAGCTTTGTGGGCAGCATGTAGAAAGACGAGCCCGTCTCTCATTTTTAAAGATACCCGCTTTCACATAACACATACATACATACATACATACGGCTCATCCCCGGAGTCTTGTTGAAAGTTCAACTCAGGTATTCTTAAGGGATACTCTTTGTAGAAAATTTCCACATAACATTAGACAAGAATGAACTACCGAGCCTTTACCTACAGTGCATGTGATATTTCGACCGGGGATAAAGAAGGCCGAGGTCGATATGAATGCGTTGGCACTTAAGGGGGGATGAAGGGATGCGGACGTCAAAATGATACGATTAGCTAATAAATCATCCAGTTATACAGGATGCACCTGCAAAGCTGCACTACATAAATTCGATCACAAATCGTGGCTTGTAAAAAGAAATAAAAAGAGATGAATTACCGTAACCTGGTTATAGCTGAAAAAGCCCCCCCGGAACAGGGCACCCTAATGTTAGATCCCTCAACTGTCTGGCCACAACTTGTGACAGAGGCTTTTCGATATTTAATTTAAAGCTTATAGGTTCTTACTAGTCCAGTTACTGTCAATAGCGTGATGGGCGGGTGGCCATATGGATGGGATGGGGACTCGATCATGTCTGTGTGTTGGCAAAACGAACCTTCTCAACAAACTCTATGCGGGGAAACAAAGCACTCGGATAATTACGGTACTGTATGTATATTCAGCCCATCCGTTCACGACTGAAGTCCATATCATGTCCCATATTGGCCTACGTCCACTTACACAGCTGCAGTTCAGCCTACTCAATCAGCGTGCTGTGTGACCAACCTTTCATTTTTACCTCTCATAATCTGATATTTGACCTCGTGCTCATGCTCGTCGATCGGCTTGAGTAAATCAAAGCAATATAAAGCTTTATATTGTACTCTAGCTCCAGCTCGATCGGGGGTATACTTCGAGAGCCAATCCAGATTTCTGGCACTAGTCTAATCGTCCGCTGCCGTTATATCCTGACAAAGATAAAAGATTATCCAAACTTTTGATTGTTTATTTCGTGATACTATCTCTGGCTCCCGGCAAACGTACCGGGGATGGAAAATAGATCTACGTTCTTACGCGTACACATAGGTGATAGAAAATTGAACGGAATCCAATATGGATCAGTACTCCGGAGCTGGAGGCTATTTAATGAATGCGGGTAACGGGGTAACAGAAGGTTTGTGGCATGAGGGCTGTAGATCACTCCTGTCATTTTTTTTTTCTTTCGCATGTGCAGATGTTGTGGTGGTAATAATGAAAGAAGCCTACGTACTCTTTATTTAACTAGAACAGATTAAATAATGGGGTTAATATAATTGACATGTCTCAGCGATTTCCATTACATAATATTTGGTAGGAGATGTACCGAGTGATCTTTCGTGTTCTTAAAACTTGGAGGTCGCTCTGAAATGTATGACGGTAAAAATATAAGGGTTTTATATCTAGAAGTGTATAGAGATTTAACTTTGTGTATGCGAATATCAGCCCAAAATAATAATAGTGTCATGGTCTCCTCCTAGGTGCCCATCGAAGCCATTGTTGTCGTCAATAGAAATGCTTACATTTCTCTTTTCAAAAATCTCCAGCTATGTAGGTCACATATAATACGTGCCTATCCTAACGAAGGAAGTTTCTACGCATACGGGTAAGCTACCCGGGAAACCTTATTGTTCCGAAGGAACTCGAGATTAAGCTGGCGCGAGGTTGCTCGCTTGCAAGCACGAGCTGCTCAACCGTACCGGCCTCCTGGCTTTTTATAGCACTTTAAACCGTATCCGCGGGGCCCTATATATAATTCATCGTATTCGTATTATAGATATATCTATATATATCACCATTTTAGATAGTGATTAACGTTTTTGACCCAGTATTGTGTCAGACCTAGAAGTGTGTCGCATGGCAACGGCACTAAAACTAAACATAAAGCCTTCGAAAAACGAAGACTCTACAACCACCGTAATAGAGGATAGTTAATCCGGAAATTATTCAGATTCATGTGTTTTCAAATGAAATTCATTTCTTAAAAATCTGGTAGTAAATATCTCAAGAGGTGGTAGAGATAGCTTTGGCGGTGGGAATCCCCATACAAATTTGTGTGGGATTGACACTCTTCTAGGTCTGACACGGTACCCGGTCTAAAACGTTATCCGCTCTGAAATCTCTGGTTGCAGCTTGTGGCCTCTGAATTTGGATCCACGACCTCCTCACTCTTAGATCATTTGAAATCACTCGCTTACATTAGCAGTCTCGATTACTTATTAAAACATA